GCTGTAAAAGTTCAGAACTAGTATCTAATCAACTCTCTCTACTCCACTGAACACTGACTGAACAAATGAGAGCAGCAGGTAGAGCTTCCATTGATCATATATCTAAAGGGGAAGACTGTTTTGATAAAAAAAAAAAAACAACAACAACTCAGATTTGATAAAGAAGCTTCTGTACAAATTCTCTCACAACATTTGCCCAAGAATCCATGTTTTTTCCAAGAGATGATGTAACATCCTGCACATAAACAGCAAGCATTTTCTCTGAAAATTAATTCATAAATAGAATTTATATCTGTATAGTAATCAAGCTCATATCAAGTATTTTATTTACGGAATGATAGTAAATAAACATGGATGTGGGCATCCACAAATATGTGCTGTGAATATTTTAGTATTTTTTTTTTCTCAGTTATTACTTTTTTTTTAGATTTCTAATATTTCTCACTGCTATATCAATAATGAAGCATGATGCTTGTCTATCTCTAGCAAATACGTGTATAAAACCAGTACAGAACTAATTATGTAGAAATAAATGGATCTATAGTTATGATATAATGTTTTATTTTAACTGTAGTTGTGCTTGTTTTTCTCTGTATGGCCTTGTGCCCAAAAGAAGTGGAAAACATCCAATTCTTATCCATTTCTTGAATCCACTGTCCACCAGCCAACTTAACTCCATTGTAGTTGTGTGTTTTTTTCTTTCTCTCTCTCTCTCTTTTTGTTGGCAATATAGTGGTGTCTGGAAAATAGGACACCTCTGTGGTGGCTTTGACTTCAACTGTTGGACCAGAGTTGGGAGCTGAAGGTGTTGATTAGGTTTTTCCTTCAGAATAATGCATTAAATTGCTTTTTATTGGAAATATTCTTAGGATTGTTCTAATGTTGAAATATGCCAGGGTTATATCCTCTCAAATTATTTTCTATGATTTTTATATTTGTTTTTTATTTTCATATGATTAATTTACACACCCCCTCCACCCACCCACCCATCCCCATCCCTCTTCTTACCTCTCCATGCTCCTTATCCATCCATCCCGTCCTCCCGAGAGCCATCTCATTGGCCCTCGCCTAGCAACCGTATGATAATTTGGTATAATGTGACACCCCCTGATGCATGATAGGGGCTGTAAGTCAACATACGTCCCCCACCTCTTTTTCAGCTGGTGGCTTGTGCTCGTGTTTGAAAGGGAAGACGGATGAAGCAGGGAGGCTGAATACATTTGAGGGAGAGAAAAGGGGATTTCACGCTCATGTCGTTACATGACTGGTGTCCGGCGGCTAAACCTGTCATCTCCCTCCCTGGAGGGCTTTTTTCCTCCCTTTTTATCCCTCAGCATCTGATTGTCTCTTTTATTATTCCCAGCTTCTCTCCACATGGCTCCGTTTTAGCCCATATGTATATCTGGAGCTGTGAACAAATAAAAAAATATATATCTGAAGCAGCACAGTGTGGGCAGGCGGGAAACCAGGCAGCCTCTCCGCATCTAGAGGACCCAAACACCCGTATGTACTTCTGACATGCAGGCAGGCAGGGAGGGGAAGGAACACAAAGATGGCTGCTCCATTTGTGTCTGACGTGAGCACGGCGGCTGTGAAGGACATCCTGATGGAGACACATTTCATTCTTGGTGTTTCTTCTTTACGTTTTAAGCAATAAAAAACTATAAGCTTTTTAATGCTTCTCTGAGGGGTAGATCCTTTTTCTTTTTGGTTCCTCATTTTAATGTGTCTTTGATTTTCAACAAAATAAGTGATGTAGCAAAACAAAAGCTCCCTTGATCGTGTTTGACCTTTCCATCGATCCCAGTGAGGTGACCACTCTAAGTCCGTACAAGGAGCACAGACCTGAGGAGAGAAATCATGGAAATAAGCATGAGCCTGCTAGTTTTTAAATGATTCATTTATTCATCTCTTAGAATTATTTATAACATCATGATGAGTTTGTTCATCTACTGGATCGCTTTTTGTCTGTCTATGATTCATTGAGCTTATAGGACATTAATAATGAGCCTGTGAGTCAGGATTTAAAAACACTGTCATGGCTGAGGATGTCTGTTTATATTCTGTTGGATTTCTTCTGTCAGAGGAGAAGATCTTTGCTCTGTTTTTAGTATTTATTTTCTCATTGTGAATCCACTCTTCCTGTGTGCCTTTGTGTCTTGATTCAATTTTTGATTCTGCTTCTAGCATAGCACCGATTTACAACATTTGTCATCTCAAGTCACTTTTGGGTGACGATTCAGTTAAATCAGATTTTTTAAAAGTTTTTTATCTGAACTCATCTGATTGTATCAAATTATAAAATTTGTAGAGTACGCTCCGCCTTGATGAGCATGTACAGTGCATTTTTACAGAATAATCATGATTCAGGATTTCATCTCTTCATTGCGGCACATGTCAGTAGGTGGGATGAATCAAATAAGCATACACTATATGTTCTTTGCCATTGATGCAGCAGGAATAACTGGAAAACATTTTAAGCAAAGTTTTGAGTGAGTGATATCAGCATCTGTAGTAATATGCAGACACATTTCTTTAAGGGGTAATGCAGTTTCCAGGGGTTTTTTCTTATCTCCTTGCATTTTCGCTTCCTCTACCAGGAACTGAAGTTGTACTTTGCCTTTTTTACAAGAACGTTTACTTCTGTTTTGAGCATTTGAAGCATTCCATTTTTTTTGTACTTTATTTAACAATATTTTCAGCATAATCGGTATCAAATAGTCAAGGGGTCAATCTTTCTGTTAATTTCAACTTTGATTGATTGATGATTTTAAGCATCATTTTCTGTTTTCAGTTGTCTGTGGAGGTGTTTTAGCATACAAGAAGCCCTGTGAATCCATTAGAGACTTTTAAGTGGCAAGTTGCTACATTTGTAGGGTTCAAGAGCAATTTGTGTGGATATTACCAACCTCATCTCATTTTAAAGGAATTCTAATCCAACTCTTTGAAACTATTATAATTTCACTACTAGAACACATGACTTTTATTTTCACCTCTGTTTATTTGAATTTAAACAGCCGCTTCTCATTTAATCTGATTTGATAAAATGGGATATCTGATGTCATGTCTGTTTTCTTGCTGTGAGCAGATGTATGTTCTATGAATCTGTTAAAGTTATAAAGTATAGAAAATTCAGCAGAATGATTCTTTCAGCTGTTGAATATCTCAGCCTTCCTATTCTGTAATGGGAGCATCTGAGCAAAGCCTCTGCTTGCTATTGTGGGAGGGGTTATATCTAGTTATTTAGTGATCCTATCAATAAAAGCGACAATCATCCCAGATCAAGTTCCTGAATGATACCGGTAAGTTCAAAGGAATGTATCAGTATCATTGATCTCAAAATCATTCTTCCTGCTTGTCCAAACCTCCCTATTTTGCCTGTAATGTATAAGTTATTATTTTAAATATAAAAATATAAAGCATTGCATTCCTCAATCTGTTTCCATAATCATCTATAGTGGTGCAGCAGGAGGTCCAAGCCTCCGTGTTCTGAGTACTCCATTGTTGGGCACCGATGCACAACCAAAATTGTAAGGATTGAGCAAATATCTAAAACATGTAGATGGATGAAACAATACCTATAATAAGTATGATAATTTGTGATGCATGACTGAAGAGTCAGAAGATAAAAACAAGACAAAAGATCACTATCTATCAGAAGTGGTCCAAGAAGGTAGGAGTGATGAACTACTGTAACAACAGGGTCATGGTACATTGACTCACATTAGGAGCAAATGGTTCTTTCAATTCTAGTGTGTTTGAAAATGATGTCTAACAGAACATTCAGCTTTTATGGTCATGTTATTCTTCTGATGGAAAAGAAGACATAATGCATTGCAGGTTATATGTTGCTCAATAGCTGTTAACCCGTCACTGCTCATGCTGGTCATAATCTTATGCTTTCTATAGATTTAAATACAGTATGAACCTAAAACATGATTGTAGACTGGATTCTTTGTTTTCTTTAATCATCTGATCATTGACTTAGATAGATTTTTTTGTAAGTTATTACCTTCTTACCTATTCTTTTTTTTTTTTGCAATGAACATAACCGCCTATGACAACCTTTATCTTTTTTTTAGTTGATTCAAAATTATGCAATCTTAGATGTGGACGGAATTTTTTCTTATCCTGTAAATTTACCTTCACTGTATACTCTACACTTTATTCTTAATTTGTGCTCTATATCTTATTGTTTGTTAAAATCTGAATGCTTCAATGTTTGGTTTTAGGTACACCTGAATTTAATGAAGATGAAGGGTCATTTTTACTCTATTCTTTCAAATTCTCTAAAATTCTACTAAGAACAACCTTCAGCTTGTGTCTTATAGATTTAGATGTTAGACCACGGAAAACTGCAGTTCTGTGTCAACCAGAAAAAACCAGATCTGCACCTTTCTAGTAATATTTTCTGTTTTGAATATTAAAATCATCCCAGATTATTTTATTGGACGGCAATCAAAATGATCAAACCTGCTTCTGTATGTATGCGGACATGCAGTTGCCTGCTGCTTGTGTGGAGTGGGGGTGTACATTAGTGGTCGTGCATTCAGCCTCCTCCACCCATGTCCTCTGCCTGTTCTCCCCCATCTCCATCCTGATACTCGGTCACCTGCACCTCTAGCTTGTAAAATGTGGGGATAGTAGCACTCACACTACTGTTGCTCCCCCACCTCCTTCCCACTTCTTGCCTTTGGTTCATTCATGCTCTCACTACCATTCACTCACTCAGTTTATTGTTTTTCTTTTAATTGTGCATCTCTATCATGTGTTTATTCATGTGAAGCTCTGAGCAGAAAAAAATAATCGCAGCTTGGCTGCTGAAAAACAGAAATTAAAACACAAAAAGATGTCAATTTCACAAATGGAGTAAAAGAGAGCGTTGTTACCGTGGAAACCACTCCCCTTGCACCGCCCCCTCCTCCCTCCATCTTTCTCCTCCCATCCACCTCTGTGTTGGTGATGCTCGTGTGTCTTTTCTCTCCACCCGGTTTGTCCTCACCTCTCCTGGACATGCTCCTCTCACACTGCCAGAGGAGGACGCACGAGGAGGAGGAGAAGGAGAAAGAGGAGATGAGGAGAAGCAGCTGCCTCTTCTCTCCTATTGCTCCATCACTTTAAAATGAGAAGAGCAACAACCAAAAGAAAACAGGACACAGGAATTACTTTGGTACCAGAACCCCTACTCTTCCCCATTCTCCTTTTCAAGGAGGGCATTTTTCTTCCCTTTCCCCCCCTTTCCTTTTCTACCCCGATTTTTTCCTCTGAGGTCCCGGTTTTGTTTTTGTCATCAGCAAGCCCCTGAACTTCTCTGGGATTTCAGGTGAGGCGCGCGTGTGCAGTGTGTGGTGCCTTTCCCCATCATTTTTCTATACCTATCATGGCTCACGCGGCCTCCCAGCTGAAGAAGAATCGGGGGGAAGTGGATGTGAATGCATTAGAGGACGAGAAGGAGAAGCGGAGGAAGAGCAGGAGAGCATCGTCCCGGGAACAAAAGAGAAAGGTAACAGGCGAGGGCTGGCAGCCTGGTCCGGCTGGTGGCTTCATCTGCTCTGCTCTCTCAGTATCACTGGAGCGTAGCGCTGTGCACGCATGTGTGTGCTCATAAGACTTCATCAGAGAGATTCGGAGGAACCATGTGGGTTTATTCATTGATGAGCCCTCATTGGTGCATTATCTGCTTCTGGCTTCCTAACCATGTTTGCTACATGTGTCATAATAACTCTTTTGTTGGTCGTCAGCATCAAATGTTTCATCTTGACTCAATGTCAAACATTGTAGAGATGCAATGATCTGGCTTTTTCTGCAACATAGCAGTTTCAGGTTTCTTCAGAGTCTGACCAGTGGGTTCACTTTTTGACACTACAATATTTTTTTCTTAGAACTACATCACATAAAAGAAAATAATGTCCCTAGGCTTCTAGGAAAATCTGAGGCATTTGGTTGCCAATTGGAAATGGAGGAATTAAAAGATCATCCCAGATTATGAATTAAAATCTTGATCTATTATGTTTTCTATAGACGCCTGCATTAAACTACATGTTTGTTGATGCATTTAAGAGCTAAAGATTGACAGATTTCTGAGTTTCAACAAATGTGATCAGACTCAACAGAATTTTATTTAATCAGTGGTTTAACCCATATTCTTGTAAGGGTTCTAACACACAAAAGAGGAAGAAAACATGCATTGCAGGATCTTTTACAATGATGTAGTAGTTTTGATTGCTAAAGCAAATGAAGAAATCCCAGTTTTGTTATCCCCGACCCAAAAGTCCCTGATCTTTCATGGATTTTCACTTCATTGGCATGTTGTTAGTTAATTCATAGAAAAAAATGTGAGATTCCTATCTTTATTTTTTTATTTTTTATTTATTTTTTTGCCATAAACAAGATCAGCCTTTTTGGTATTTGATGTGGTCAAATGTTTGGTGCATGTCTAATAATGTTACCCCCTATCCTAACATGATGCCCTCAGAAACCTGCCACCAGATGATCCGAGTTCTCAGGCTTTGTTTGCCACCCTCCAACCCTCTCAGCTCTGCTGCTACTGCATTTCTGTGTGTTTTTTGCTGAAAAACACCAAAAACATGTGATCTCTCCTTGTGCTTCTCTATAAGACTGTGATGGTAAGCTTGCAGACAGCACAAACACAAGATGTATGCAGCTAGTCTTTTGTGATTTTTGTTTAAGTGAGTTTTACCTTGGCGTCTTGCATGTTTGTGTGTGCGTGCTTGAATGCATAGACAGCCATGTATAATGCATACTCAACTGATTTATTGATGACAAAGCTTTTTCGTATGATGAAAACTGAAATGCACGTGTATCTCCATGACTTCCTACCTATCTAACATATCCAAGCTTGAGTTTGGGCAAAACACAGATAATCTTACAAAACAAAAAAAATAATTAAACGGAATAAGAAGTTTTAAACAAATAAACACAAATATAAGTATCAGCTTTTCTGCGACTGTTTCTGAGAGCATTTCTCTTATTGATGTTGGTAAATTTGACCGTGAGGGATCAATCCAATAACAGTGTACTTTGTGCCAATGGGTGCCTGGTTTTGAATTATGCTGCTGGCATTGTTATTTGACCTTCGCCTATACAAGAACTGAGCCGTAACTGACAAATCTTTTAGAAAGAGAAAAAAGATTAATAAGGTGAAGGAAAGTTCTGGACCTCTCTCTGTGGCACCGACCATGTGAGAGACCTCACTCACTTTTCACATGTCTGAGATGAAGATCTGTGTTTGAGGAGGTAGTCTGAACATAGGGTCATGTTTCTAGAGTCAGTGATGAAGAGGACAGGTGAAGAGATGTTTCTTTTGAATAAATATGGGTCATCTATGATGGTCAATGCCCTTTTCTACAGTTCAGTGACTATTTTTCATATTTCTTTTGTCTTTTTCACTTATTGTAATGGTGTTTCCAAACCTTTAGTTGAGCTCCAATGTTTGTTTATTATTCAGTTTACTTATTCGGGTCCTATTTGTGAGTTTTATGCCAATAGTTATTAATATGACACATATACTAAATGATACAGAGACAACAACCCTCAACTTAATAAGTACCCTTTTTTCTGTACTGTACTATGGACAATGCAAGAAGTTAGTTCAGTTTTTGGTTCATTTGAATTTTTTATTTTTTTTAAGCCCATTGCCCCTGCTGGTGGCCTTCCAGCTCTCCTTTTGCCTCTGAACACTGTCTGACTAAGCACCGTCAGTGTCATAGATGCAGAGCAGGAAAGAATCATGCAAACGACTTTTTATTACATTGCAATACAGCCAATAATGATACCTGATGCATACTTAATGATTTTTTATATGAAGGAAAAATTACATTCTGGGCAAATTCCTATTATTATACAACTTGACATTGCTGCAGAGTGATATTGCTGCGCTGCTGCAAACTTGTACAACAATCTGCTTTGAGTCATTGCTTTCACAGCTCCTACAGCTCTATATTTAGAATTCAAAACAGGTAGAAAACTTTGTATGGAGAACACTTGTAAAAGCAGAGCTGCATTAGTCACTAGGCAGGCTGATTTCTTCATACACTATGTCAGGAACAGACACTGTATTTTTCTGGCCGGATCACAGTTCATTTCAGGGACACATTTGTTTGCACCTGTGGTTACGATGGGTGAGAAACAGTTTGTAATGAGTATATTACAGCCGCATAATGTTACAGTGAAACATTGTCTTTGATTCCTCTTTGCATATTTCTACAATGCTTAGTTTCCTGTTCCATCTCTTATTCACTCTTCTCTTTAAAATTATCTACAACATCTCGGTATGTGCAAAAGCTTGGGCCACATGGTCTTTATGGATTAGGTGGGACACTTGTCTGTTGAATTAGCCATATGTGTTTGTTCAAAAAATCCTACTGATGACCAATTTCACTTTAAAGATCTCAGTTTACAGAGAAACTTGGCAAAAGCAATGTGGAGTTTAAACTTTGCTACCATTGGATGTTTTTTTGTGCTTTGTTTTAATAACTCAGTGCAGTAATCCCCCCAAAAAAGTTGCATTTGAATTAATTCCAAAATTTATTTTAGAAATACAATGAAACTTGTACTACTTTATTGTTTCTTAAGATTGAGCATTTTCCCAACTGAACAAGTTTGCTCAAATAAAATGCTTGAATTTACTACATTTTCTTGATGTAAGATTTACTGTTAGGCTAAATTTATTGTTAGGCTTTTCGTACATTTTCAAACATATCCATATTTGTAAAATATGACCTGTAGAGTTTCGTAAATACTAACGTTGAACTTTATTCAATCTATAAGTTGTAATGTCAGACTCAATACATTTGCTGATTTTGTCTTGTTAAAATTGTCAGTTTAAAACACTCTAAACTATTCTACAATATTCTAAAAATGAATTTTACTTTCACTTCTCTCCCAAAATAAACCTTAGTCCACTCTGACTATCAGGTAACTCGTCTTTGCATCTTTACTTTCATTACGGTATGTTGTGTTTCTGTGTAAATCACAACAAAACATTCCCTTTTTTTGCAAATGCCTAAACAGTTAGTTAGTGCACGGTGAATTTGGGGGGAAAGACAGTCTGAATTAAAATTAAAAATTAAAAAAACAAAACAATTCAAATAGGAAAAGATAAGTAATGATTATAATTGTGATTCTACCATCTCACTATATATCTCAGTCTGATGAACTACTAGATACATTTTTTTTATTTTATTAATAACCTGGTAGAAAAGCTCCTCATGTGTGTTTGGTAAATAGCTGGAATCTCCTCCTTGTGTTATTTCTAAGGGTCGGCTGGTTACATGTTGGGGACATTTCAATGGGAAATCCCTATCTCTTTTCTCCACCAATTTTCCAAGATGGTTTAGTTTCAATGACATTCTTCTAAAGCCGGGATCTCCCAGTGGATTCCCACACAAGAAAAGAGAGAGAAAAGCGAAGCATAATTTTTCTCTTCATGTGTCCTAGTTTTACAAGGTTTCCCAGAACTGAAGCATACAGCACTTTGACACAGTACTGGTTATTTCTCAATCAAGAGAGATGTTTCTGTGCACCTTTATGTATAAAACAGATATAATGCTTTAACCTTCAAAGACCTTTAGAACACAGTGTCAGCAGTTGTGTGTTGCTATTATTTATTATCCTCATATATCCTCAATTTCAAGTCTAAATGATCACTGAATCTAAAGTAAAGGGGATTAAATAAGTGCTGGAAGGGGAGTAGCAGTGTTCAAATAAGATTTTAGCTCAGTCCTGCACTTTGAGGTTGCCTGTGGGGGAAGTGGCAATACTGGAATCTTTTCTTTCCTCAGAGGAAAATCTAAAAGAGAGAAAAACGTTCCAATTGCTACAGGGGGAGAGACCCATAAAGTAATTCCATATTTTATGTCCTTTCTTTTTCTTTTTCTTTCTTTATCTGTCCCCTTTCAGTTATATTTCTTTCATTAGTAGATGTGTTTTGCAACCCTCATTCCTATCACCACCTCCTTTAGCCCTCGTCCGTTACCATAAGCCCATCATATATGGAGGTTAATGAATTCAGTGCCCATGCGTGCCTCAGTTAATTGCATTGACATCAGGAACTCCTCTCTCAATTACTAAATGTTTTCACTACCAAGATGGCCACTGCCTAGAGAACCCATTAAGGAAGAAAAGTGCTGAGCTTGTGTTGGTGACAAAGAAGGGTATATAAACAGTAAACGTTGAGAGCATGATTGCAACAAACATTTTATCATTTGAGGTGAAACTGTTTAACAAGTTCAAAGTGGTTAAGTTTTACAAAAAGTCACATTGAGCTGAAAATGTATGCTCAAATTGTTGTCAGCTAATTTCCATCACTATGTCATTTCTTAATTGCCCTTGTAGCCAGTAGCAGTTGTAATGGTTGACTGGGCTGTATTACAGAGTTCTGAAAGAAATATATCTTATACTTGAAAATAAAAATCTAAGTTCCAGTCTCTATGGGTGGTATGGTTCCCCCCTTTTAGGACTTTGAGTTGTTAGTTTTCAGTT